TAATCTTACTACTCACGAACTCTTGATTAAAAAAGATTATATTAACGAATTGCATTCAGTTTTATTTAATGTTCCGAATATTTCAGACAGACCAGTCCTGCACATTGTTCGACTTACATGACTTTGCACCAAATTTTTATTCACACTAGAATACGACAATCACTAGACAATTTGATATTGTTGGTATAACCGACTACGCTGAATATATTTTTAAGGCTATTAAACTTTTCTGTAAACTTTACTTACCAACGAGAAAGTCTGAGATGGCCAGGTTTAGCAGGAAATAATTGCTCTGTTTGCGCAAACTCTTGTCCATCTTGAAGGCGACGATGACCAACGCGTTTCCACACACAATCACAGCAATCAGAATGACCATCATGACCGAGAGCAGCGCGAGCGCCGGACCCTCGAACCCCGCGTCTCTCCTCACGGCGGTCCAGTTACTGACCGTGTGCTCACGGCTCATGTTGGGATGGCTACCCATCGAGAGCTTCGGGGTCTTCACTTCGAGCTGGTCTTCATCTGTCTCACGAAGGTTCAGATGAATGTGTCTGCCTGGTAAATGTGTCGAGCGCGCGCTGTTGACGCCCCTCGCCGCTCCCACGACGCGCGTCAAGAGCGATTCAGAGCCACTATCGACTCTTCCATTCATTTTAGTGTTCTGATTTACTGACATCATTTAAAACCGTGGTAATATGTGATCTAAATCAAGTAATCCCATTTAAGAAAACAAAGAAACAATAGACTATATCAATTATTTAAAATGTGATGGCTTACAGTGATAAAATATTAAGCATTCAGAATTCAACTCTCAGTGATGATGGCCTTTGCACAGCTATTAATGTCATCTTCCTCTTGTTCTTCTTTATTCCTGGATCATTTGAAAAGAAAGAAAGAAAGAAAGAAAGACAAAGAAAAATATATTTTTTTGCCTTGAAAACAATGCACTTTCATTCAGGAAATCTAGTTGCTTATGTTTTGGACATGTTTCTTGAACACAACAATTGAAATTGCTTTCAAACTATTACCGAATAATCACGTTACGTTTGAATAATCAAAAATAATTAAGCTTGTAACTTTAATCTCAAATTCCATAAAGTGTTTCTAATTGCATATTATACAAAAAAAAAAAAAAGTTTCCAATTACATAGTCTGTAAGGACCTTTCACAACAAGCATGTTGCAATTAAGCAAAACACAGACAAAGTGTCTATTCACACCAAGTGTAAAATCATTATCCTTTGGGCTGAACTTCAAGTTCAGGATTGTAATTAGACTGTATTACTGTAATCAGACTGCTAGTCACAAAAATCACAGATATTAGCACTTACTGAACACTTAGTCTTGTTACGGAAGCCTGCTAAGTACGATCTTAGTTTTAAATGTTGAAGAAGGAAATCTGCTTCTCACTCTTCTCTGCAAAATAATTCCTTTTGGTGCTCCAACTGTCCAAGTTTTATGATCAATACACCATCTTTTTCACATTTTAGCATGGTGTCTGTGATTATAACTTAAGCCATTGCAGCTCTTTCATTGATGTTGGCTTGGTGAAGTTCTTCAAGGTGAATATTTAGGTTTTTTTCTCACTTCTCCTGAAGTAATTCTCTGTTTGGACACATCCTTTTTAGTGTTTTATGGTCACTATCATTCACTTTCAGTTTTTGCCCACTATTCTCCTTTGCTGATGAAGTCTTGCCATGCTTGAGTATACAGTAATAAGACTAATAAGTTGTTCTTAAAACAACTAACAATTGGACTGTTAAAGTTACAGAAGCTTCTGCTAAATGGGCTTCCATGATTTGTCCTTTTTGTACAACACAGTCAATATGTTGTCACAGTTAACATCATCATATACACACTCAAGATTTAATTTCATTTAATTTATGCTACTCAACAGTTCTTCCTATCATGTTGATATCATGTCGATCTGCTCATGTTTTTGCAGCTAGTTAATGGCCAAACATATCAGTTCTACTATTGAGTCCTCCTATAAACTGCAATGGGCTGTGGACAATATTAGCATTCATGCTGTGCACAGATCCATACTTCAGAAGTCTATGGGAAATATTAGACCATCCGGGGACATTTGGCATACTCTTTTCAACACAGTATGTTTAGGAACACATATTCTAACAAGAGTCAACAAAATACATTCAGGTGCTTACAGAAGAGATGAGTTTTCAGCTGTTTCTTGCATATTGTCAGGGATTTGGCTGTCCGGATTGGGTTTGGAAGATCGGTCCACCAGCAAGGAACAGTGAATGAGAAGGTTCTGGAAAGTGATTTTTTTGCCTCTCTGTGATGATACCACGAGGCACCGCTCACTCATCTGGTAGGATGTAGACTCACAAGAGGGAATGGAGCAATGTCGTTGTTCTCTACACAAACATCAGTGTCTTGAACCTGATGCAAGCAGCAGCTGATAGCGATTGCATAGAGATAAGGTGAGGTGTAACATGGGCTCTTTTGGTCTGATTGAACAGTCTGACCATTCTGCTGCATTCTGCATCATTTGGTAAGGTTTGATTGCACACGCTGGAAGTCCAGCCATAAGAGCACTGCAACAGTCCAATCTAGAAATGACAAGGAATGAGGAGCTGTGCAGCCTGCTGAACAGTGAATGAGAAGGTTCTGGAAAGTGATTTTTTTTGCCTCTGTGATGATACCACGAGGCACCGCTCACTCATCTGGTAGGATGTAGACTCATAAGAGGGAATGGAGCAATGTCGTTGTTCTCTACACAAACATCAGTGTCTTGAACCTGATGCAAGCAGCAGCTGATAGCCATTGCATAGAGATAAGGTGAGGTGTAACATGGGCTCTTTTGGTCTGATTGAACAGTCTGACCATTCTGCTGCATTCTGCATCATTTGGTAAGGTTTGCTTGCACACGCTGGAAGTCCAGCCATAAGAGCACTGCAACAGTCCAATCTAGAAATGACAAGGAATGAGGAGCTGTGCAGCCTGCTCAGTTAGGAAGTGCTCTTACTGATGTTGTGCAATGCAAACTCTCATGACCGAGCTATGCAATGTGGTTTTGAAGGTCAGATGGTCATCAAAGATTACCCAAGATTTCTGTCTGAAGTGGTTGGGATTATTGTTGATACGCTTAATGGTGAACCACCATTGTGACTGGGAAGAAGAGAAGTTCTATCTTCGTTATATTGAGTTGCAGGTGATATTTGTGTGCGCATATGTGTATATGTAACAAATAATTGAAGATGTTGTATTATTGAAAATTAATGTGCACACAAGGTGGTAACGCTGAGAGTGTGCGTACATTTTCAATAATTCAAGGGTCTATAGTCAATTATTGATTGAATACAACGGCATTGTTGAATTCTTGATTCTGATTGGTTGACACATGCTCATGTATCATGTGATCTCTTTACAGAATATGAGATACTGTATCCTTACAGTTTTCTGAATCTAGTCTATAAAGAATGTGCTCTCAGAATAACACAAAACATTTAAAACATAATTTCTTAAGTTAATGCTTGACCAGGTGAGCACAAACAAACTTGCATCAGTCAGCCACATGAGCACTCCCATCGTCATACGTCACATATTGTCTGTTCATATGGCATGTATAACCTTGTGTATAACCTTAAAAAAGTCTTTGTTTACTATTTTTATGCACAATAGCTATCCCAGTGCAATGCTAAAACACATCAAACACTCACTGAGCTATTTTCATACTGTATAGTGCATTTAATATATATTCTATATAAATATATATGGTTAGGAATTGCATACTTTGCCTGTGTTTTATCAACAAGTCATGCATTTTGTATACACATATCTGGACCCATCCCAGCAACTCGTGATCAGTGTTGCAAAAAAAAAAGAAAGAAAAAAAAGATAGATCCAGACCTGACATTAATTTCTGTTCTCTATACAGTATCACTTCCTCCTTAATGCAGGTATAAATAATGTTCATACCTATGTGCCATGTAGCCTTTGAGCACCACCTTCAGGCTGGTATGAGCATGCATCAGTATGCATCACATTGAGTGGTTGCTTGTATGTATTTCAAGAGTTAAAAAGCTATTTCATTGTGTAATGTTGTTGAAATGTGTATCTGTCTTTATTAAACTTTGTTATAATTTAGCATTTCACTGTACATTTCTTGTATCACTTTTCTTACAAGTAATATATATGCACTGTCTAATTCAGTATTCTCTGCAAAACTGGCTGCTTTGTTGACAACTCCATTCTCTCAATCTGTATCTTCATCTACTTGAAGTTGCAGGTTACCCAGAGCTGCACCAATTCTCAGAATTCTATCCATTTTTGGTGCAATGTTGATTGACACAACGTGTGAAATAATTCTGAGATCCTTCAGTCTGCATATGATCCACTCCACGTGATCTCCTTGTGCTGGTGGTGTCTTCTTCAGAAAGTAAAGGCAGGTATTGTGATTTTCACCTTCCTTTCACATAGTTTTACATGCATACTGAATAAAGTAAAATAGTATATCAAATCATTCCATGTTTCATAGCGTAGTTGAGAATTATCTTTGTAATCATCAAAGAATCATCAAAGTTTGTTTAAAAAAAGCCTGAAACCTAAAAATTGATTGGTGAATAAAATAAATAAATAAATAATAATAAAAAAAACATTACATTACATTATTTTTGTCTATGCATGTGTTTTTTATTCCTAAGTCCTGGTGTCCTCTACAGAGGACATAGCATTAAATAGGAATAAAATATTTCTTTTCTTTTCTTTTCTTTCTTTCTTTTTTTTCTTTCTTTCATTGTTCTCAGGAGGATATTACACATGCATTATTTCTAACACGTGAACTGTTGTGATTTATGCTTAACATTGAAATTGTATTTCCTTTTCGAAATAATCCATTAAACAAGTTGTCATATTTTAGTTCAGTTCGTTTGCGCGTTGTCTCAAGGACACGCCCACAATTTAAGAAATCGAATTAATATTCATGAGGCGCCACTCAGTGGAACCAAATGTTTTAGGAACTGAAAAGATTTTAACACCGGCCTAACCCGCTCCGTGATCACGTCAGATACAGGGTGTGGTTTCTATCTCACCCTGAAAGTTAATTCTCATTTTGGAAACAGCATTTGATCTCAACAGTTTAAGTGAATTTACTTGGATTAGCTGTTAAATGATTCTGTAATAGACCCACCGCGAAACCGAAAGTGAATGTAGAACTTTCCGTCGCTGGAGAGTTTTGCTTGGTGAGTACTTTTATGAAGGTACGATGCATGTTCTCGTGTAGATTGTTTAAGATGATAAAACTGTAAATATGTTAATGATGTCTGAAGACAATGTAGAAATCACCCGCTTGACCAGTAGCGTATTAATATTAATTGGCATGGAATGTTAGCTGGCACATTCTGCTATGTTTATAGTGGCACATCCGGTTTTCAGTGGCATATTCCAGAGGACTGTGGCTTGTACCACTGAAAACTGCGGAATGTGACATCTCCAATAGTGACTGACACATAATGTAGATACTACACATACGCACTTAATAGCACGATGATATTTGGTTACACTTTATTTCGATAGTCCACTTTAGACATTCTATTAACTATAAGTAACTTTGTAACTACATGTCAACTACATGTCTACTAACTCTCAGGGTAGACTGTTAGGGTAGGTTTAGGGTTAGTAGAAGTTGACAAAGAAATTGTTAGAAGATATTAAGCAGACAGTATACTAATACTCTACTAACTGCTAGTTGACATGTAGTTGCAAAGTTACTTACTGTTAATAGAATGTCTAAAGTGGACTATCGAAATAAAGTGTTACCTGATATTTAATTGATTGTACTGTATATTGCTTTTTAAACATATGCTTTAGGCCTTCTGTATTGGAGCTAATTTATACAACAACCATTAGGTTTCTCCAAACTGCAAGGTTTTATATCGGTCTCGTGTCCCGCTGTGTTAATACAGCATGACTTGCAGTAATATGTAGCCTACTTTAACACTGTAACCAATACAAAATAGTGTGTTAATTTGTTTTGCACAAACATCCTAGTTTCTCCAAAATGCATAACTCAACACAATTTTGCTATTTACATGTGTATTGACAGTTCAGTTGAGCTTTGCCATTTGGGTTTTTTGGACTCAAAAACAGATGTGCCACAAACTGACTGCATTTTTGAAAATTATTATTATTTAATTGACATTATTAAAATAATTGATTCATTATAAAGGATTGCCCCTTTCCCCTTAGTTGTGTTCGTGCGCTTGCGCATGCCTCAAAAGAGGGCTTACAATGACTTACAAAGATACATAACAGCTATAAGTGCATGCACTACTTGCTTTATGCAAGCACTATATAGGATAAATCACTATACAGGATTTACCCTATTATACTTTATCGACACGAATTGATAGGTGAAACGACAAACAGCCACCCGCAAATAATCAATAAACAAAGCATCAGGCTGTCTTTGAGTTCACATGAACAACGGTTAAAGTTACTCGTCGTCAGGCTACAGAAGAATACCATAATTCCTCCGTTCAATTAGGCCTAAGACATCGAGAGTCACGCAGACCTATAACACCCCAGCCACAACACATAATTGCGAATAACATGCCTTACCTTAACAAAAGAATCGACAACAGAGTCCAGCGTTTATATTTTTTCTGGAATTTGCACCGCAGCGCCCCCACACCTTGATGCTCATGACAAGAATAGCATGTATAGTTATCTTTATTGAAGTGAATTAGGTTTAAATCGCCGTCATGCATGAATGAATGATATTTTTGCAATTTTACACATAATAATCCACGATGATCACATTACACAAAACTGAAATTGCACGTCAAAATAACACATTGTCAATATTTTTTGAGACCCCCCCAAAATTTCACAAATCCCGTTTTCAGGGGAGCCCATGTCTTAATAAGGGGAGCTGAGCTCCCGCTAGCTCCCCCGTAGTTCGCACCCTGGTTGTCATGTTATTCTGATATAGATGTGCCATCAAACGTAGTAGCATGAGCCAGTGGCTTTAATGTGTCATGCACTGTTAAATCTTTAAATGAATATTTATTATTGTGATGTTTTTCAGGGGGGGGGTCACTATATTTATTTATTTGCTGTGGGTGCACTGACATCACAATTACATATTTTATGATGATGCTCTTTATTCTCCAGTCACATTACCTTTAATATTAATATTCATGAGTGAAACTTTTACGTTTATATTACTTCTTAATATTAACCATAATTATATCGCAATATTAAATAATGAAACATATTTATATATGAAGTCTCTGAGACCTCTCAGATCTCAAATGTGTTAAATAGATGTTAAAGAGAGAAGTTGGATGGCTTTAGGCTTGTGTGAGCAAAATCTGTGCAGAACCAATCACCGGTGATCACCGCAAGATTAATACCGGTTAGAAATGTGATTGTTTTCACATTGAATAACAAGTACTTCGGGTGTTTTGTTCATCATATTTATTATCATATGACACAAAAGCAATATAACTTATATTACATCCAATTTATTATAGCAACAAAGCACATGAGCGTGAATCATGAAAAATCCCATTGACTAATCCACTACGAGAATGGAGAACTGTTTGTCTTGACTGCATTTTTTTCACTCCTCTGCAGCCACCTACTCTCATCTACATTCGAGGCAAGGCACATCTCAAATGAGCTTGAATTATGCACTTCTCTTTTTTCCTCTTTTCTTTTTTTATTGCCAAGGTATAAAAAATATAAGTATAGCACAAATGTAAAAATACATATTTAAATAAAGTGATAATGAAAGTAGCCTAAAGCATCAATTACAAACAGAATGCAGAAAATGAAAACTTTAACTTTAGAAATAAAATAAAGGGGTAGCACAGGTTTATTGTCTTGAGAGCTTTGAAATTAAGATGAAGATGAAATAGCTTGGATGTATTGTTGGATTTCTTTACTAAAAAAACAAAAAAAACAATGAATAAGGGATTTTGACAAGAAAACTACTCTGTGAAACTCAAAAAACTTATCTATATACACACACGAATCGCTGCAGTTTCCAGTTGAAATGAACACTAGGGGCAGTAAAACTCCCGACAACTTTTATTCCTTGTCACACAAAGTATGATTTGCAAGTCCACAGTTTCGATTAACAAAGCCTCATTTTCGCATAATTACTTGAGGAATACTATGTTATGAATTCAAAACAATTTTAACATGTTGCGAGATTTGAAAACGGATACTTTTGAACGTTGTCGTCATCAGATATTTAAATTATAAACCACCGCAATACGTACCTGAAGAAACGTAATACAAACACAGCAATACGTGCCTATATCAACGTAACAAAAACGTGCCAGGGTCACGTATTAAACCCGCGTTTTAGCGCCACTCACTATGAAACTGCTGCGAAACGTGCAGTAAGATACGTAATAATGGTGCTGCAGAAATGTATTTAGAGGCACGTATTTCGAATGAGCCTGGGTTGGGCAGATAATAGCCTGTCTATGTGCCAAGCGTTTGTACGCCTGCCATTGTGTGTTCAATTTAAATCGTTTTAAAACCGTGGTTGAGTAATTCACTCCTTGATTTGCTTAACAAAAGCCTACTTTGAGATTGTGCTGAAACACATGTTTATATTGCTTTATTTTCAGTGTGTTTATTGCTAAGTTTAGTGCAGCAAAAAAAGATGCTGGTGAGCGTGTCAACCGCACCTCTGTGGTGTCACAGGCGGTGGTATCCAAATAAATAAATAAATAATAATCACATGTTAAGGTTGCTCATTTATGTGGATATTTGGACATGAGTTAAGTACAAAGCTTTTTTTTTTACAAAACCGGTAGACAACTAAATACTGCAAATATGGAAACACTTGGATTTGTGCTAAATGAGGGCTAGGCCTACATGACTCCATACATTTGGATTAAGCCATAGACGTGTGCCGGCTTTGTATTCTATTTTGCGATCTGGTCACCCTATTTCCCCATGAACAGCAAACGCGCATTCGTGCACAGAAACCAAAGGCCAAGTCAGGATATTCGTTAAATAATATGTTACATTTTAGTTTGTTTCTTACCAAACCCTATCATATTCCCACAGAACACTTAGATTAAAGGGTGTAGGTTTGATTTTGACAATAGTGGGGACATAACAGCAGATAACAACCAGACCCCCCTCCCACCATATTTTAGTCATCTGAATTGTTTTTAGTTTTAGTCTAGTTTTAGTCGACTAAATCTACAGTAAATTTAGTCGGCTAAAATCTAATGGGTTTAGTTAAGGTGTAATGCGTTTATTAAGCATTTCTCTTAAATTTCCAAACTCATTATATAGGTTTGATATTAAGGTTTTATCATGATAACTGCGGTGACACACAACATGCCTTTATGTTAAAATTAAATAAAACCACTTCTCATAAAGAACAAGAACATGGTCTTCTTTTTAATGAAATGCCAATGGTTATATAGGCTAATTATGCATTCTTTATAGCAACTTGTTTACCATATTCTTCATTCTTTCAAGCAGACATATTTATTTCTGTAAATAAATTTAGATTAATATTTAGGGCTACTAAAGTTTTTCAGTCGAGCAGTGCGTGATTTTCTTTCTTTCTTTCATTGCTTGATTAACATCAATGACTCGGACAATAGCAAATTAGGCTGCTGTCCCTTTAAAACCGAATGCACAGCTGCAATG